TCTTTTAGAGAACCTTGACTAATACACATTTTTATATAAAGGACTTGAGATTACACAGGTTTCAAAGTCCTGTAACCAATCTTTCATAAATACCAAGGGATAAGTATATGACAGCCTGTCAGGTCTGCCTCTCTGTATAACACTAATACAGAGATGCAAACATACCTAGGACAAACTCTTCTTGAGCTAATGTGGTAGAGGAAGAGACACATATATAGAAATAAATATCTATTGACAAGGTGAACAAAGAGTCAGGGGACAGGTAATTAGATCTGTGAAGTAACACTGAGTTATGGGACAGACAATAAATGGGGTTAAGAAAGACCTCTTGAAGGTAATGTTTAATGTCAGCTTTGAGGGATGGTGTGGAATGCATTAGGTGAGGAGAGGAGAGAATTCAGGAAGAACACATGAGTAGGGGGAGCAGTGTGAGGGGAACACAGAGGCTAGGAAGCAGATTCTTCCAGGGGTGGAGTGATCCAGTATTGCTGCTGTAAAGTGCCTGATCATAGAATAATAGTTGGATGAAAATGGACTGTTCTCCTTTGGAAACAAAATCAGATAGGTGGTGGAAAAAACTCAGCCATGGAAGTGTTTGCAATCACAAGGACTCAAATTCCATTTCCAGAATTGTCATGTGAAGTCTAATCTTGGTTGTCAACTTGACTACACCTGGAATGAGCCAAAACCCAAGCATCTGGACATGCCCCAAGGGATTTTCTTAATTCTACTATTTGAGAGTTGAAGACCCACCCTAAATCTTGACAACACTTCTCGTCGCAACCCCCAGGAAAGGATGTAGAAGAAGGATGCTTTTGTTTTTTGCATGTTTGCTCTCATACTCAATGCCAAGTTCATGTACTCTGCTGCTGAGGCATTCCTTCACTGATTTTGGAAGCTATTTCTCCAGGATCCCAATACAGGCAGAAGACCAGCATCTCTCTAGGACCTACCTGGGACTCCAGCATCAGAATAAGACTATTACAGTAGCCAGTCTCCTGGACTAAACAACTAGTAGAGTTTGGCCTTTCTATTGGGAGACTGCCATTGTTGGAATATCTGGCTCACAGCCTATACGCCACCCTAATAAGTCACATATACAGTCTGTGCAAACATCAGGGCTGTCAGAGTCACCATCTGTGTGAAGCAAGAAGGAAGATGGATTCAGGATGACTCAGTAGCTAGTGATAGTTCAAACTTAAAGAGCCTGACACTGGGCAGTTTATTTCAGTCATATTTAAGTACAGTAAAATCTGAGAAATGTTTCTTGGTGTAACACAATACCACGTGTACACTGGATGTTAATTACATTGAAACTCTTCTTAAAGCACTGTTACTTCTTCCATGAAGATGGGTCCTCCAGATGTGCTTCCTGTGTTATTTTAAGGGCCTAACGTAGGATCTGGTATGGTTTTAGCCAGACAAGTAGTGCAGAGGTCATCTAGACTACTAGCTTCCTCAAGCCCTGCTTGTGGGAACTTGGGGGAATCAAAAATGGCCTAACCCTACGGATAGTGCAGCAGCAGTCAGGTAAGCTACCAGTCACCTCCGTTCCCAGCCTTCTGGGTGGGGAACAATATAGATTCCTTTGAAGAGTCAGCCCTGAATGTTTAACATTCCTGGCTTTTCTAGTGATTATCTGTGGGGACAGACCTTTTAATGGCGTCTTGGAATCCTAACATTGAGGAAGAGGAGACAGGTTGATCCATGGAATTCCTGAATCCAACTTCCTTCTTGCTTCATACAGATGGTGACTGCCAGCCCTGATGTTTGCAAAGACTGTATATGTGACTTATTAGGGTGGCTTATAGGCCATGAGCCAGATATTCCAACAATGGCAGTCTCTCAATAGAAAGGCCAAACTCTAGTAATTGTTTGGTCCAGGAGACTGGCTATTGCAACAGTCACAATCTGATTCTGGAGTCCCAGGGCAGTCCTAGAGAGATGTTGGTCTTCTATCGACGGCTAACTAGCCAGCCTAGCCTATGTGGCAAATTCCAGGCCAGAAGTGTTAAAGATATAATCTTCATTTGAAACCTAACCAGAATGTCTGGGCAGATGTTTCATCTTTAAACTGTATTTTTCTTTTTAAAGGTATAGACACTTTTCGAGAAATGATACACAAAGCAGTCCTTTAGTCTCTACAAGTAAGCACAAACATGTGCCCTTGTGCCTGTACATGTATGAACACGCATCACCCACATATATCAAGGACATATAAGTAGCCAGACACATCAAGATTAAGCATATTGCTGTATCTACATAAAATTTTTAAACTCAGTCAGAAGCAGACGTGATATTGGGAGGAAAAAGTTGATATGAGGCTAACCATGAGATAGAGGGACTAGTCATGAATTGAGAAGGAAGGCCGAGAACTCCGTCGGCCTTGGGGTAGCGAGATGTCTTAGCATAGATAGAGACCTCTCTAAGCTGGTAACCAAGCTAGCCATTCCTCAACTATCAGGTCAGAAGTGATTCAGTGGAAACCACATGTCTGATAAAAACCCAAGGAAAGGGCCCAGGTGAGAACTCCAGAGAACACCTGCCCATTGCGCCCCTTCTCCTGTTTCCTTATCTGAACTGGGTATGACAACACCCTACCCACAGCTTGTGTGGAGACTCTTAGTTAACATAGTTAATGTGTGCTACCTGTGTTCAAGATGCCTAATGTGCACCCGTCCCCTCCTCTCTCATGCCAAGCTCAAAGTCTGGATTAAAATGCTTGAATCAACTGAAAGAGAACTTCTGAGGACTTTAGGTTCTGGACTTGGAGTTTAAAGTTATCTCAAAGAGAGAAGCTATCAAATCCGAGGAAGTTGCTATGGCATTTTTCTGGGATAACCCCAACCCCATGCCCCATCTCAAAGGCCTGAGAGAACAGTTACCACCCACACGGCTCCTCATCCACCTGACTTAAGCCCATTCCATTTCCTGTCTCAGTAGCTCCCAGCATAACTCAGAGCATCGCTGGATCTCCACTTCTGCAGGTTGGGCACAGTCTTTTCCAGTCTTTAGTCAGTTTTACAGGGTTAGTTGCATCCAGGGACAGCTGACAGCCTTTTTTAGCCATGCAGCTGCTCTCTGATACACAATGTCCCTAATGCTCAGGTCTGGTGGGTGATCATTGTTTTGTATCCATATCAGCAGTGGGTAAACTAGAATCAACCAGTTCCTTTGATAGCCTCAGGGTATCTAGGCTGCCACTGAAAACCTCGACCGTCACCACTGAAAATCTTGACCATCACTACTCTAACCCTTAAGTCACATCGACACATTTACTATACACTTACTGTATAATTTCCATCACCTAGATCAATGGAAAGAAGAGAACAGTTTCTGCCTTTAAGGATCTGATAATGTGGAGAAAATCTCTCTCTCTCTCTCTCTCTCTCACACACACACACACACACATTTATATACTAAAGGATGTTTGTTGAGTGTTAGTCTCTGAGCATAACATCAATCATATTTCTCAGAAAAGTTGTGACTACTTGTGTCTCTCAAGATAGGGTCTGCTGACTGTAGATGTTCCCTCGTGGAAGGAGAGTGTCAGGAGGAGGGTCATTGAACCCTTTCTCAAGATTCCAGCTATTTCCTCCTGCACCTCTCAGACAGCCCTAAGTAGGTGCTAGAGTATGCCGACTATGGAAGGGTATCAGAAGGATGAGGAATTCATGCTGCTGTGAAATGTTTAGGTGTTGTTGCTTTCAGATCTTCGAGCCGCTGGGTGTGAAGTAACCCCTTATAGCAATCTCAATAATCCTTTTGGTTCAAGACTGACTTCGGTGGAATCCTACTTTAGTTTGTTGTTGGTACCCTATCTGGGAGGGAATGGTTATCTCCATAGGAAAATAATCATGAAATAAGGACACTTCGTCACTGCATCATAGACAGGGCAATTTTTATCCTGAATTGGATTACTGTTACACTGGCTATTTAGGAGATGGCTGAGGTAGACGATTTTAAGAAGTGCAATAGTGTGATAGCCATTACTGTCTTTTACCTCAGCTCAGAGAATATCACCCAGTGGATGGACAGAACGTGCACCCCTTATTACTAAGATCAAGTCCTTTTAGTCAAAGGACTTTTGCCTCAGGATGAAGGGTGTGGCTTAGAGCTACACTTTTAAACCTACTATTCAAGAACTGAACCCAACCAGGGCAGAAGTCTACACAAGGATGCAGACATAGGCTAGATTCCTAACATTGCTGGTAGTGTCATGGATCTGTCTACTCACACTGGAGCCTGTCTGTCACAATCCTTGTGTCTGTCTCCCTTTCTCCTCCGTGGTTTTGCTCTTCATGTTTAAAACTGCTCATCGTGTATGGAACTTGATTGCCCAACCCTGCCTTGGGGATGAAAACATTAGCCAACAAAGTAAGAAGAACAGATGAGGAAGTCCACTTCTGGAACAAGTCAGGCCAGAGAGAGAGAGAGAGATCAGGGCCAGGGGGAGCCAGAGGGACAGGGACGGAGTTCCTTGGGGGCCAGGCCCTGGTCACAGCGCCCTCTCTCCGCCCTGCCCTGGGGCTCCGGGGCTGCGCGCCTTGGGAGGGAAGGTGGTGAAGCAGAAGCAGCTCCCACCGGGAGAGAAGGGAGGAGGACTTGGACGGAGGTTGGGCGGCTCCGAGGTCAGGGCGAGCTTGGCCAGGGGGAGTGGAGAGCAGCCGGGCTGCGCAGGGGCGCGTGCCCTGAGTTCCGGTGAGCGTGTGTGTCCCACGCTCCGTCTCTCAGGCCGGCCCAGGACACGAAGCCGGAAGAGAGCTGGAGAGACGGGCCCGGAGCAGAGAGTGCAGCCCGCGCAGCCCGGGTGCAGGCTGGCTCTCGGCGCTCTCCGCCGGAGCCTGCCCAGGGCTGGGTGTGAGGTTGGCGTCACGTCAACGAGCAGAGGCGGCCAGGCGGGGCGGAGTGCGCGTGCGCGGCTGGCGGGGCGTGGGAGCGGGCGCGGGGCGGCGAGCACGCGCGCGCGCGTACCCCGGGCAGCCTGGGCGGCCGTTCCTGCCTGTCACTGCTGCGGCGCTGCTGGTCGTTCCCTTGAAGGCAGCGGAGGCGGCGGCGGCTGCTCCAGACACCTGCGGCGGCGACCCCCCGGCGGCGCGGAGATGTGGCCCTTGGCGGCGGCGCTGTTGCTGGGCTCCTGCTGCTGCGGTGAGTGGCTCGGGGATCCCGGCTCTCAGGTTGGTGCGCAGCACCCAGGCGCCCCCGCAGGAGTGTGGGTTGCACCCCCGCCGGCCAGGCGGCACCCGGAGGAGAGCGGAGAGGAGAGGAGAGGGTGGCGGGATGCGCGGGCCCTGCGTACCCGGAGCGCCACTGTGGGAGGGCCCGGCGGGGCAACGGCGCCCCTGCCTCCTCCCTCTGCTCTCCTTCCCTAGTCCCTTTCTCCCCCGGGGAGAGCGGGCTGAAGCTCCTCACTCCAGTTCGCACACGTAGGAAGACTGGGAACAACCGCAACTGTGCAAACCCGAACTGCAAAGAAAGCGAGGGGGCAGCTGCCGGGGACCCCCCTCCCCTCCTCTCGCACCCCTCTCTCCTTTCTCAGTGCTTTCACGAAGCATTTGGGGTTGAAGGACTAGAGAGTGGGAGGACCGGGCCTCTTGTGATGAAGTGCGCATTTTGGTGAAGTCGACCAGAAAGGCTTTTGCCCTACCGCGTAAGCACTGGAGCAGAGAGAACACGATGGATCCAAGTTTTGTTTCCCACCTAGCTTTTATCAAAGCTTTTTTTTTTTTTTTTTTCCCCTGGCCGCGTATTTTGGTGGTTGTTGTTTTGAATTCTAAAAACAAGCTTCCTGGAAACACTTTCTCGTGACACCCCCGCTGCCCCCCCCCCGCTCGCCAGCACATTAATATATTCCTTATTGTAGATTAAAGTTTTTTTTTCTCCTTCGGAGGAAATGTATTTTAGGATTTTGGCCCAGATACTGCCAGTGGTCTAAAGACGGTAATTGCCAAGGATGCACTCCCTCTTTTGCAAAGTATTTTGCTGTTTATAAACGCGTACCTCCTTTGAAAAAGCCGAGGAAAGAATAGGAATTTTTGTGGCAGTATACTGCCCGTCAAGCTTCATATCTGCAGATTCCTCTGCGAACTTTTGGTAAGAATCGGAACAGACTTGATGCAGGATAACAGCAAATGTTAAATCTGTCTTCGGATGCTAAATTAACAACGTTAAACTGATGGTTAACCTCAGTGTGCCACTTGTAAAGGCCAGTGTTTGGGATCTATTTCCAAGATGCCCTTAATCCCTGCCCACCACTTCCCCCTCCCAAGCATCCTGGGTGTTGTAGCTGATAATAATAAAGACCTATGTTATCTAAACTGTTGGTATTAGATGTTCTCCGATAAAGTCGTCTTTACTATGCTTGTTACCATCGTTATCATTATTAACACTGTTTTCAAATACCTGTTGTATAATCAGAGCTTTCATATTGAGTCAGATACAAATCTGTAATAAAATGCTACTAAGTCAGACCGTGGATAGTGAAGCTTATTTGTCTGAAGATTAAAAAGTATAAGCTGTATATTATGTTTTTTTAAAAGCCTAGTTCTCAAGTAGATTAAAAGGCAAAATTATTAGAATGGTAGTTTTGGTGATAGGAATTGTGCTAGGCCTTTGTTAGCAATAATTATGGTCTCAGTCATTAATCCTCATTTTGTACAATGTTAGCACATGGGGTTCTATAAGGAGTTGCAAAATTCAGAACTTGCACTATTTTTATTGTGTTTGCTATTAACTAGGAAAGAAAAACAAACCCAAAATACAAGCATTATGGTTTGGGGTTGTTAGATGTTTATAAATCAGTAAGTAATAATGTTTGTCAAAGATAAAATGAACTTTTGTGTGTATATCATATGTAGGCTCAAAAGAACACATATAAAAACATGATAACAGTCTTAGAACACAAGCAGTATCAAGGGAGCCCAGAGGCTGGATTTAGAATCTAGATGAGATGAAAGTCATGGATTTTTAAGGTTCATTTGTGCTGAAGTTCGATTCTGTTTTCAGTTTCATTTATAATGAAATGGGTAACCAGGGGCCACGTCCTTGTACTCTTTAGTTTCTGTGACCTCTGTGGTAAAAAGGGAGTGGGGTGGGGTTCTAACACCCTCTTCAGCCAATTAAAATGGAGTGCAGCCCCCTGAACCGGTTTAAAAAATGTGGAATGAATGTCAGTATTCCTCCCCACCATGTCTAGTTACACTTCCTTTAAAGGCGTAGCAGTTTCCAGGGTAGTCTCCAGCTAGTAAATACAACCTTAAATAAATAATATCAGTTGTATATATGAACCAATAATTTTTTTTTGATGGTTGAGTTATTTTTCTTTGTTCAGAGTGACTTTTAAAAGTCAGGCTTACACACGATTAAATTAAAAAATGTTTTTAATTATCTAAATATAGCGATAATTTAGCTGCTCACATAAGAAGGTTTTCTTTCCTCCTGAAGAATAGATTGTTTTAAAGCACAAGTTGCCAGTTTAAAGGAATGACTGCCTCTGTATGTGTCCTTGTTTGTGGGGCTGCATCAGCAGTCTGGAGCAGCATGCTCACGCACTGCATTAAATGTCTATGTCAGGACACTTCTGCTGTCTTCTGGGTTTGGCAGATGGCTTATCTTCATCACTGAAGTGCTAATGAAAGTGTGGAAGGCCATGTTCGAAAGGCAGAAGAAGAGGTGCCCACCCTCTCCATTGATATATGTTCTGAATACAAAATCGTCAGAATTTGTGGTTTTGCTTCAGCAGGCTTCTTTCTGTGCTCTCATTTATGGGAGCTGTTTTACCTGTCTTCGAGGCCTTTGCTGTCAATAGATTTTTATATAAAACACAAAATTCTACATTTTTATAGCTTGTGCCTCAGTCTAATAAAATCCATATCCGATTATAACGTTACTTTCACTTTGCATACGAGCACAGTAACTCTTTGAAAAAAGAATAAGAAGAAGGATATAGATTCAGTTTTGCTAAACTCAATGTAGTACCAAAGTAGGAAACAGAGCACTCAACAAAAGCGGTTCTCATTGCCCTAGACCAGTGGTTCCCAACCTTCCCAATGCTACAACCCTTTAATACAGTTCCACATGTTGTGGTGACCCCCAACCATAAAATTATTGCTACTTCATAACTGTAGTCTTGCTACTCTTATCAGTCATAATGTAAATATCTGATATGCAGGATATCTGATAGGTGAATCTATGGAAGGATCCTTCAGCCTCGCCCCCCAAAACGGGTTGCCTCCCATAGATTGAGAACCACAGCCCTAGAAAAGACTCCAGATGTGGAGTTTCCCTCTTTGTGGTTGGTTGCATGGAATTGAAACAGAAATGAGAGGCTCCGCCCTTGTCTGAATGTCTCATTCCACACCCATGGAGCATTGCACAAGATCTGGAATTTTTTCAACCTCCATCTTTGAGGTTTAAGTCAAGAGAGTCCAAGTGTAAGCATTTTCAACAAGTGTGAGCTCCAGTTACAGCCTGGCCTTGAGCACTCTACTCTTAAAGGCACAGAGACACATTTCAAACTTGTGTGCCTCTCAGTAACTTACTGTGTGGTTTATGGAAGGAAGACATGTTTATCTTTCAATGCCACGTAGTATACTTCAGTTCATGATAAGTTCATGCCTCTGGATATAACTGACTTTAGAACTGCCCTAACTTCTGTAATTCTAGATTGACTAGTTCTGTTCTTATAAGGACTCTTTTAGAGCCAGCAAATGTGGCAGGATTGCTTTGAGTCACACTGAATTAAGCTGTGGACTCCCCACCGTGCCCCTGACCTTTATTTTAGCATCTCCCAAGGGGAGCTTGGACTCTCCATCTTCTGTCCTAACTTAATTTTAGTCTCACACCCAAGTTTTTTCTGCCAGAGGCCATTCTAAAGGGAGAGCTGTAGGGCACCTCTCTGCCAGCAGGTGTCTGCATCAGTCACTTCCACAGCTCTTGAGGTTTCTCAGCCCGTTCATGAACATCACTCCAAGCTGATGATTCACTTCCTACCTCTCTGGAAAAAACGGAGGGGAGGTGTTTGGCTTCCCAGCTGCCTTCCCAGCACTACTAAACCTTAAGTTCATAGAGAGCCCTTCTCTCTCTCCTCCTTCAGCCTGCTCCAGAAGAACCCCATTCACTTGTCCAAGGGAATGGCAGTCCGTCAACTCTCTTTCATATTCATCTCCCCGGAAACCTGCTCCCAGACCCATCCTTGTATCTGAGATCTTGCCCTTGCCGTTGACTCCTCCTCCGGAGCTTACAGCCGTTATCAAAGTTTTACCTCATAATAATAAAACAAGCCCCAGAAGATCCAAAAAGTCCTTGTCCTTGTCCTCGCCCCAACACTCACTTGTTGAACTTTTCTCTCTGCTTTCCGACTGTGTGAGGTCTATTTAAAGAATCACTACTGCAGCCTTCTGTCACCTCCCTCCGGAGTACAGGTTCCACGTGATCCCACCTGGCCAATGGCATCATGGAGAAAGAAGCTACTTCTCAGTCTGTGGTTGGATTTTTACTTTTAACTAGGGTTTGGCATCTCCGTTGTCCATGGGAATGCTAACCCTGCCTTGGAGTCGGCCATATCACCTTGGTGGTTTGTTTTGTTTGCTTCTCTTGCTCCTCTCACTTCATTTTCTTCCCTGACTTACTCTTTGAGAAGTATTTCCACGATTATCGATGCTTCCAAGACTTTGTTCTCTGCTGTTTGCTTTACAAGGCCCCCGCGGTCAATCTTCTTTACACTGACGATTTCAACTCCCAGCGATGTTCCTGCTGATTTCCAAGTCTTTATAGCTCTGACCTTTCCTCTGAAATCCAAAGTCATATATCTGGGGATCTACTGGACATGGCCACTTCATTGAACCACTGGCGTTTTTAATGCTCAGGCTGGAACATTGAAAGGATAACTTCCCTTAATCTTCAACCTCCTTTCCATGTAATTAATCTACAACCAGCTAGTTCCACAGACTATTTTAGTTTCCAATTTTCGTTTTTCCTTTTTTATCTCCCTCACCTCCCACATGTGACTTCTGTTGATTTTGCTGCTTTGATTTTTAATGCTGTTTTTTTAGGTCTTCTTTCTACTTGTCATTTTACCTGGACTGTTGCAGGTTCTTAATGGGTCTTTCTTCTCCACTTCCTGCCCTCAAGCCCTCTTTCATGCTGCT